TTTGACATCCAGTTTTTCCTACATTGGTTCGTAAGTCTGCATGGAACACAGCCTGGATAGAGAGGCCCCATTTACATAAATGCAGTAAAATGTGGAGCAAACAGACACCTCCCTGTCCCACTGAACTCTACATCTGACATTATTTTTCTCGGCCTGCTTCCTAGCTATGGATCAGTCTGGAGACCACGCTGTCCACGCACTGCTTTAGCTGATCAAAACCGGGAAAGACGTAATTAAGTGGCAAGAGGGTTTAGTTGTGCAAAGCAAGTTACCAAGTCAAACTTGTCCTTCAAAGGACAGCATTCTACAGCCAGCTTTGGATAGAAACCTAAATGGACATTCCTGGTTCAAGCCACCCCTCGATGTCTCTTTTAACATACCCCTAATGATGTTTAATGTCTAATTTATCTGCTTGTCTACTCCTGTCATGAAAGCAGGAACTGGACTCATTTGGTTATCACTGTATGACCAGAACCTAGAATAGTACCTGGCACTCAGCAAGCACTCAGTAAAGATTTGTCTTCTGGCTGACACCAGGCTGGGAACAAGTCAAATGATGAAGGAAGAAGGGAGAGATTCTATCTGTCATAGCTTGCAAGGGAGCAGGATGGAAATTAGAGATGGAATTACAAAGAGGTCCCTCACTGCCATCAAAGGCTGGTAGTGGCACGTACTCTACCCTGACGGGGAACAGACATCCAGAGGATCAAGTTAAAAGCCGTTGTTGGAAGTTACAAGTCCCGGGTTGGTGTTCCAGAAGCTTAATATCAACTATACTGATGATGCCACCATTTCCCCATTTCCCAACACCTTTGATGCCACCTGACATTTTCTTTAATCTCATCAGAAAAATAAATGATGTCACCATGGCAGCCCTCTCAACACAGCAGAGAAGCAAGCCATTCCAAAATGGGCCAGATTTGGTATTACCTAAGTCTTGATACTCTGGGCAAATAGCGTATTTTCAAAAGTCTGGCTGAAGCACAGTGAATTAATGGAAAAAGCACTCAGCAGAGAGATAGGGAACTTGGGTTCCTGTTTCAGCTTTGCTACTAAACTTTTGTCCTTGTCATTCTACTGTTCTGGGCTTTATTTTCCAAATCTGTAAAATGAAGGTGGGTACCTTCCAGAACTAAAATTACACAGTCTCCTCAGGGTTCGTTTACAACAGTCACCTCTCTGATATCCTTCAATGTCACTGTCCTCCAGCTACCAATGCAAATCCCGCCTTTCCTCCTCACTCCTTCAGTTTGGCCTCACCACATGGGAAAATGTGTTCTCTAATGTTCATCAACTTGAAACTGTGGCTTGTATGTAAGCACTTTTTCAAACTACCCTGAGTTTGAACATGGGTATGTTTTATTCTTCCTATGTAGCGTGTAAGTTCCTTAGGGAAAAAGACCAAGAATTTCATGTCCCCCAAACACACCTAGCACAGTGCTGGGCACATCACAGGTGCTCAGTCGGGGCCTTCCAACCTTACCAACAGATGAGTGTGCAAGTAAATTTAGGATTACTGCTATTACACTGATGTTCTCCAAAGCCCAGGTCACCAACTCAGCCAGGAATCAGCTACAATCTGTCCTTTCTTGTTAAGGGACACCTTACTGCAAGGTTGGCTGGGACTGATTTACCTGATCATGGGCAGTGCTACCCTACAAGCTCTGAATACTCCTGAACAAGTAAATACAAGTACCTGTTTCCATAGGACTTTTAAAGTTGCACAAACTTTGTGAAGACAATGAGCAGTTTCTTTCTTGGATTTGCACTCCAGAAACATAGACACCTCTCTGTGGAGGTACAATGAGACTCAGGACAAAAGTACAAAACACTGCCAGTTCAAACAGTCTCCTCTGTTACAGAGCATATGTATGACTTCTGTAATCCGAGTTGATTCAGCCTATAGATGGCCTCAAGGCAGAATCAGCCCTCAAGTCTTTTTTTTTTTTTTTTCAGTATGAAAGAATTTTAAAGTTATGGGGAAAATCCATAAGCAAGAGAGCCTCATGTGAATGTCAAATACTAGGTGTTTGCTTTTTTTTAAACCAAAGCTACTATCTGTGTCTTAAAGGGTCCCCAGAGTTTAAGTCAATTTCAAATGGGACTGTAACAACCTACTTCTTCTCACAAATGGGCCTTGAGAGCTCGTTTGGAGGGGTTTAACAGGAGAGCACAACTCCTGGTATGTTCGCTGGCCAAGCAGGTCTTCCGTATATGAAAGGTCATCTCTTTGGTGGAAGCCTTAGCACTGTGAGGGAGTGGTGGAAGGAAGGAGCGTGGCCCAGCCAGGCAGATGTAGTCAAATCACCCTGGTTTCAGTAGTGTGACAGATGGGCAGCTGGCTTGCTCTGCTCCCCATTTTGGGGTGGGGGATTTAGACACTGTAGCCACTGAGGCTGTTGGCCACAGTTGCTCTCTCAGACCAAGAGCTCCACTGTCCTTCCTGGAAAGAAGACTCTTTCAGTTCTATTTTATGTACAGAAAGAGTGATTATTTGAGGCTTGAATACAGAAATTAATGGCACAGGCCAAATGAAGGCTTAACAAAATGAAGACTTTGTTTATTTTATGTTTAAAAGTTTAAGGCAGTTTCACTGAATTTTCATTTAAGGTGTTTTTTTAAATGTCATTGCTTTTTTTCCCCTGGTAGTTCAAAAATGTCATACTAAAAATCAACTCATAATGTACCCTCAGGTATACACCTAAAAACATGAATGAAGATATATGTACAAGGACGTTAACTGAGACATTATTTTTAACATCAGGAAAAATGGAACAAAACCATGTATTCATCAATAACAAACTGATTAGAATAGTATGTGTCATGATTCCACTTGGGAAAACACAGTAACTCTGTATGTGCATAAAAAGTATGTATGATTGTATGGACACAGGAAAGGTCTAGAAGGACAGTCACTGAACTAAACAGTGGCTGTCTCCAGAGGATGGGGTGGGGGATGTTTGGTGAGGAGGGAGGACTTTTAACACATACAATTTTACCCCATTAAATTTTTTTTTTTACAAGTATATTTAATTTTTTAACTGGTCCTCAGGTAACAGCACTGGATTAACCATATATAACATATTATCACTATGGATTCATGCATGGCCCACTTTTACTAAAGTTAGTTAACCAGTTATTTTTAATAATAAAGCACCCTTTGGGCTTCCCTCGTGGTGCAGTGGTTGAGAGTCCGCCTGCCGATGCAGGGGACACGGGTTCGTGCCCCGGTCTGGGAAGATCGCACACGCCGCGGAGCGGCTGGGCCCGTGAGCCATGGCCGCTGGCCCTGCGCATCCGGAGCTTGTGCTCCGCAACGGGAGAGGCCACAACAGTGAGAGGCCCGCGTACCACAAAAAAAAATAATAATAATAATAATAAAGCACCCTTGAACACACCACCCAAAATAAAAGGTAGATCCTTGACAATAACCTACATCTAACCATATGCTCCTCCCTACCGTCACATTGTTCTCCCATACTCCAGGCAGCCACCACCCCAAATCCCATGTCCGTTATTACCTGTGTACTTAATAAATAAAACATGACAAACAAGTAAATGCACACAATTAATTTGGTTGCCTTTTAAATTCAGTGCTCATCAATCACACAGAAATATCACTAATTTAATTCTAGGCTTTTCTCTGCACATAGAGCAACCCCATGTGCCATTTTTTCAGTGGTGCAGTGTTAGTCACCCTGGGTGCTACAGCAGGTCAAGGCACTAGCTTCCCACCAGGGAACATCAAGAACCAAAAGAGAAACATTTTTCAATGGAGATCATCTCCCTAGGAGCAGGGTATCAGTAAATCAATGGCTGATTCAAATCCGTCCTCACTACATGATTTTAAAATCATCTAGTTGAGCAGAGCAGGCTTTCCCTCTAGGTAGGCAGTAAGCATTTAGTAATAGCAAGTGATGATCTCTTTAATATATAGAGTTTCTCAGCCTCTTACCAAGTAGAGAAGCTTTAATTTACTACATTTTAAGAGAGAACACAAAATAGAAGAGTGCCACAGGGCAAAGAAAGCATGAAATTAAGACAATCTGTATAATAGAACTCAACTTATTTGAAAACCTGCCTTTTAGGCTGTTTCAGTCAATCAATTTTTACGTCCTTTGGTTCTGTGAATTCTGAGCCCCCATTTAAAATTAAATCCAACATTAAGCATTTGGGAAATAACACTGCATTGTTACATATACTTTTCTAGTTTGGGTTGAATCCATACTCATTGATAAGGAAATGCTTTTCCAAGTGTGATAATTTTTAAAGTAATAGCTTCTCTGATCACCTATAACTTGTAAAAACCCGTGTGAACTCTTTGCAAGCAGGCATGACTTAGTCTAGTATTTTACAAAAAGAAAATTCTCAAACTTAAATCAGAAGAGTATGGAAATCTCAGAAGCTTCCTCTGGGTATCCTAATGTCTGCTTCTTCAAAATAAAAATTATAATTAACAGATTCTCTGCTATTGACATGTAATTAATATAGACAGGTAATCCAAAATGGCAAAGAAGCCAAAATTATTTATATTTAGAGTATACTTGAACAAGACAGCCTCTCATGTTCTTGATTTTATTGCCTGGAGACCGTCAGTGAGACGGAAAGGGTCCCCTAGTACTCCCTTTCTGCCTTCCCTCTCAGCTCCCTCCCCCCCCCCCCTCCCCACCCCACCCACGACCACGGCCAGGAAAGGGTCCCATGAACAGACTGCACTACTCCTCTCTCTAAAAAAATTATTTGTAGTGGTTTACAGTTTCCAAAGTGAGAAGGAATTCGATATTTCGACTTTCATGTTGCTGAGCTGGAGACCACAGTGGAGAGGGTAAATAGTGTTAAAAGCCTTATGCCTCCTACATTCAACTATATCAATGGGAGATGTAGCCAAGGTACCTGCAAGTGATTAAAACCAAACCTTCCTTAACATTCGAGTGTAACTTGTGAGGGGGTGGGAAGGGCCTAAAGCAACGGGGTTAGCATCCTGTTTCAACACCACTTACTCTTCTTTCCTGAGAAGCTCCTCTTCAGATTCCGTCAGGCGTTGCCTCAGCGCTGCGATCATCTCCACGGCCACATCCACCTGTCTGTTCAGGGCCCGCTCTCGTCTCTGCACTTCCTGCTTTTTCTGAGTCAGCTGCACAAAAGCTGCCCGAACTTCCAACAGTTCAGCCGTTTTCTGGGCCAGCTCTTTGGTGAGTTTATCGATTCTCTTCTCAATGGTCCTGTCCACAGCCTCGACCATCCGATTGAATTTTTCTCTGACATGTGCCTCGAAAGCTGCTTTGGTGTCTGAGGTGGGGAGGCCAGGACTGGACCTCAGGCCATCCAGCGAGTCTGCACGTAGGTCTACCGTAGTGTAGGTCTGCACATAGGACACAGGCCTCTCTGCCACCACCTCGAATGGCTTCCTGTCCTTGCCGTGTTCATGCGAAATGCTACACAAGTTAACATAGCTCGGTTTCTGCTTCACTATGTTGCCACAGCTCTGCAATTTTCCCTGTTTCAGGGGTTCTGAGGAACTGACTAGGTCTGTGTCTTTGAGGGACGGAAAGAGGCTGCATTTTGTCAAGAGGGTTCTCTCCTGGTAGCTGTGACTGAATTCCAGATGGGCCCTCAATGAGGACAGGCTTCTAAATCTGGTATGGTCCCCACACCTCGGGCAGCGGAATGGCAGGCACACAGCGACATTCTCAAAGGACTCCTGCCAGGGGTATCTGCTTTCCTCAAAAGCCTTCTGTTGCATTACTCTCAAAGTCCTGGGCAGGGGAGAATAAAACAGGTAATTGGCACGTCTGTTTAAAAAATGCTACTGAAACGATTGTTGCTGATCATCTCCATGAGGACAGAGGCTTTTAAATTCCAAATGACTTTTGCATTTAATATCTTATTACTAAAATTAAAAACCTACAATCCATGGGCCAAATCCAGCCACATTCCACTCATTTGCATATTGTCTACTGCTGCTTTTGCACTAAACGATAGAGGTGAGTAGTTGAGACAGAGGCTCTACAGCAGGCTAAGTCAAAACTACTTACTACTTGGCCTTTATAGACAAAGTCTGCCAAACCCTGCTTAGGATAAAAAAGGTGGGTAACATTCCCTTTCCACAGATGAGAAGACTGGAGCAAGGAGGTAAAGTAATTAATCCAAGGTCAAATGGACAGTGTCAGATTCCGACGTGGAATTCAAGTTTCCTGCCCTCCTGAACTTAGTACAGTAACTGCAAAAAAGTGTCCTATTTTACTGATGACACTGATAAGCATGAATACAAAAAAAAATGAGAAAAACTCACATGAATTGCCAAAACAGGTCCTAAGACAGCAAGCTCAGCAGTCTTTCCTCAAGTCAAGGAAAGGTTATCACTCAAACTAGGTGCAGTGGCATTAAGCACACAATCAGCTGAAAAATTTTCAACCTGAGATTTTTGCCTTTAATTTTTTTTAAATTATTGCCATGATGATTTAAATCAAAGTGTTATCGTAATAATGATGCCCCCCCAATACTCCAGATTTACTGAAATCTGGATACCCAATATGTCAAATACTATTGAACGTTAAGTGGGGCCACAGACAAGATTTTATTAAAACAGTGTCCTGGTTGGATTTGTCCTGTCTGTTTTAACACGAAAACCTCTAGGATGGCAAAAGTTTGAACCAGGTGGGTATCAGCATAACTCTTTTAATAACGGGAAGTTCTTATTTCCTTGCAGACATTTATTATCTTAGCCCTAGCAACAGATGACTGCTAGCAACCCGATTCCACAAGCAGCGGCTATCTATTCCCTCCAGGAAGGGTTTCTTCTTAAATGTAACAAGCGCTGGGCCCCAAACAGAGGTCTAGACTGAGAAGCGTTGTTCCTAGGCCCCTCAGCCTCTTCAGAAGTAGAGACACCAACGGTCCCCACACAGCTAGGCAAAGCTTCCAGGTTAATAAGCCTCTGGCCCCCAAAGAGGGGACCCTCTTCCTGTGCTACACCAGGCTGTTGGACCACGGGTTTTCTGGAGACAGGATGCCAACCCTGGCCGGAAACTCAGGCCAGAGGTGAAGAAGGGGAACTCGGGATTCTAGGGAGCAAGGGGAAGGGGTGGAATCCCTGCATGGGGAAATGGGTAATCACGCACTCCGGGAGTACGCAAGGTTTCAATGGCCCAGAGGAAGCTCCAGTTCACAGGGTGGGCGGACAAGCCCGAATTTCCTCTGCCTACGACAGGGCAAGCTGGAAATGACTGTGCCTCGGGGGTCCCGGCTCTCCCCGCCCCTGCCCCGCAGCGTGCCAGCCCGTCGGTGCCAGAGTGGATACATGCGCACACGAGTTCCCGCAGGCGGGGGCCGAGAAGCCCAACTCCCCGCCGTGGTACGGGGACGGGACCTACTGCCTAGCCCGGACGGCCCCCTCTGCCGCGCCCCCTGGGCCGGGCCGCGGGCGCAGATGCCCACTTACCCGACTTGTTGCTGCCCCTGCAGCTGCTGCTGCCGCTGCCGCCGCCTCGCTTCTACTGCTGCGGGTGCGAAGCGGTTTTCAGCAGAGCCGTAAATCAGGCTGAGCTGGTCCGCTCCCACCCCCCGCGCACCCCCGCTCCGGGACGAGCGGCGTCCAGGGCGGAGCGTGGCGCGGGCCAGCGGGGGCGGCGTGCGCGGTCGCCGGGGTCCCGCGCGCTGAGAGAGCTTATGCCCTGGGGGTCCCGGACTGCCGTGGTCTCGCAGGGGACACCCCTGCTCTGCTCAGCTGCCGAGAGCACCGTCCGCCCTCCCCCAGCCGTGGAGCGGGATCCGGCTCAGGATTCCACTGACATCACCGGGAGCGGTGCTGGGATCGCTCCCCTGGAGAGGAAGGAGGAAAGCGTGCCAGCCTCGGAAGCGCTGCGCTTTCCGCAGGCCCTGGCAGGGTTTTTTCGCACTTCACAGTTATTGGGGAGCGGGAGAGTGTGCATCAGGATGAAGCACGGCTGGGCATCTTCTTTGAAAATCTGCCAGCAGGAAGATCCGGGTGTATATGTTAGGACCTCTTCATCCTAACATCCCCAAATAACTAACCTAGAGAGTCTACCCTAACCTTCCTGGCAAGTGTCCTCCTGCTAAGTTAACTGGCAGGACTAAATCTAGAAAAGTACAGGGTTGTGAATAGAGAAACGAGACCCGCGGCATTCGCACCCCCATCTCTGAGGGGCACCCTCCCCCCCAGCAAAAGTGAAGATTTATCACCCTAAAGGGAGGTTTCTTTCCTTCTAAAGGACACTGATGACTCAGCTTTTTTTTTTTTTTAAACCTCTTGGAATATTCCTAGTCTAACTGTTGAAATACGAAACCAGAATAAAAGTTACCATTGGGTTTTCTTGTCAAAAGGAGAGGTTTTGTTCATCTGCGGACACTTACTCTAATGAATCTTCTTGACTCCATAGGGTGTCTCTCTTCTCAGAACTTACTCATTTCAACCTTGATTTTATTTTAACTGTAAATATCTCAGTAATTGTCTTATTTTGTTTGTTTGTTTTTTGGTTTGTTTTGTTTTGCAAATGAATCATCACATCAATGTAATTAAGAGTCCAAACTCTGGAGTTAGGCTTGATTCAAATCCTAGTTCTAGAATTGAAATGTATTTTACAATATATTAAATATGGTGATTACATTAACCAAAAATTGACCTTAGAAGAACCGAACAGGAACCTTCTCAGATGTGAATACGCTCCTGAGAAGGGAACCCAGCTCAGTTCCTATACCTTCTCCATGTCTGCAACACTCATGTGTGTGCAGAGTCCCCTGCGTTGCAGAGCCCATAAGTGGCCTGAAGATCAGAGGCAGTCCTTTGGAATCAGACAAGTCATTTCACACACCGAGTGTCAGGTAATTATGAAAATCCAGAGGTTATGAATGAACCTGCTCCAGACTGACTGTAAGGATTAAGTAGCATCTGCTGCTACATCTTCATCTCCCTAATGCAACTAATTGCATTCATGTTTTCTGTTTTTCAACCAGTGTAATTGTGTACCTACCACCTACCAGTACTAATCAGCTGCATCATTTAAGCCTCAGAGTCAGAGCTGTAATCTGGCTTTCAAGCCTCCACCAGAATAATCTACTAGAAAACTCTATTTCTGTTAAATTTCGTTGGCATGGCAACCACCACGCAACACCATGCCTTAAATCCCACAGCAGTCTGTTAGCCAGAGTGAGTCTGCAGAGAGCAGGCCGTATACAGAGGCTAAAAATAGACAATTTTACAGCGCGGTTTCCCCTCCCCCACTAGGAGGAGTGTGACTTACTTGCTCCCTTTGGTGAGGTCAAACGTGAGCCAGTTGAGAGAATGGGCTAATCTTCCAGTTTACAGATTTCTCCGCCCCAGTGCCTGGACTAGGAATGTGGAGACCCAAGGTCTAATACCAACTTCACTCCCTAATTAGCTGTGTGAGATTCAATGCAAGAGGGGCAACATCTCTGGGCTTCAGTGCCATCATTTGTAAAAGGCAGGAGCTGGAATGGACTAAGGATTTTCCAGTGCCACAGTCCTAGCTGCTAGTTCAGTTAATGTGTTTGTCATTTCCCTGCTAGTGTGGATGGGGTGGCTCGCAGAGAGGACATGGCAGGCAGGCGTGGTGCTGGTGAAGTTTGTCGTTTGTCAACAAGTGATTTGGCAGAAATCATTAGGTGTGATCTCTGGTAATTATAGCTGATGTACAGAGTGCTTATCACATGCCAAGGACGGTGCTAAGTGATTTTCACATAATATGCCATTTAACTTTCCTAATAAGGCCAAGAGAGAGAGATTACTAGTATCCCTATTTCATACATGAGTAAACTGAGTCATAAAAATAGTAGAATTAATAGATCGTTTTTACATAGGTAGTAAATTATATAGCTGAAATTTGAACCCAGGCTACCTAAATTCAGAACCTGCATGCTTGACCATTATTCCATTGTATCTCCAGTGCCCAGATCATTGCCTGCTCCCCTAAGGGCCCTCAAAAACTAATTGTTGAATGAGCAGTGAATGACCACTATGCTAGAAGGTTCTCAGTGCATATTATTCACAAAGCTTCAAAGCCCTTTCCTTTCTCAGTAGTTTATAATGTGAAGAGAAACCTTTGCGACATCCACCCTAAGCTAAATGGTTGTAGAGGAGGTAGAAAACTCGTTACTCTGGAATAAAATATACAGAAAAAGATACAGTTAAAATATGAGTATTGGTAGGTAATGAGTCTGAATTATGTAATTATGTGAAAAATGAATTGTGGAACTGATGCTCTGTCAAAATAGGGCCTGTTTCCTAGGACCTAGAATACATAAGCAATTTTCTCCTACTATTTTAGGCAAAAGTTATATTTGTTTTTAGAAGCAGAGAGGAAAAAGAGGGCACTTAGGACTATGGGCAAGCGAGAACTGAACTTGCGAATAACATATAGGCTATAGAAATAAATCTGATTGGGAAGAAGGATTCCCACCACCTCCCCTGTCTCAGCCTCCCACAGCAGGTCCTAGGTTCTGCTAAGACCATAAGATGAGATGAAAAGATAACTTCTTTGGAACAGTAGTATTATAAGGTGAAAATTAGTAGTGTTCTTCAGTCTCTACCTTCTAGTCTAACGTCTCGCTAAAAATGAGTTGTTAGCGTACTTTAAACTTTTTATTGGAGACGAATATACCTATACTAGTTTTTCATATCGTAAGGGAAAGCCCTAATGAATTTTCACAACTGGAAGCATTCGTGTGAGCAGCATCCAGATCAAGAGACAGCAGTTCCCTGCCTCAGAATACTCCTTGGTGTTCCTAGCAAGCACCTGTGCCCTCCTCCACGAGGGCAACCATCATCCCGACCTCTAACAGCACGGCACACGCCTGCCTCTGTATGCTTCATGTCAATAAAATCCTGTTAGGGCTTCCCTGGTGGCGCAGTGGTTGAGAGTCCGCCTGCCGGTGCAGGGGACACGGGTTCGCGCCCCGGTCTGGGAGGATCCCACTATGCCGCGGAGCGGCTGGGCCCGTGAGCCACGGCCGCTGAGCCTGCGCGTCCGGAGCCTGTGTTCCGCAACGGGAGAGGCTACACCAGTGAGAGGCCCGCGTACCGCAAAAACAAAACAAAAACAAAAACAAAAACAAAAAATAGTGTCTGGGTCCATTTTAGGTCATGGTTTCTTCATATAAAGTTTTAAATGGAGAATATCCTATCAATATCTTTGACATCTCCACATTATTGGATCTTCCAATCTTTTAATATAGTGTAAATCTCTAATTTGTCTTTACACCTTTTATTTAGTTTTAGTTTTTTCTCCTTAAAGGAGTTGCTTTGGGGGGGGTTAGTTTTATGCCTAGGAACCTTATATTTTAGAATAACTTTTTTGGTAAATTTTCATACATGTACAGAAAGGGTATGTCATAAATTTGTGGCTTGATGAATTTACACAAAGTGAATATACTCATGTAAATACTAACCAAATCAAGAATAGAACATTACCAGGCCCATCCCTTAAGAAGTTTCCTTTGTATTCCTTCTAAGTCACTACCTCTACCCTCTTCCCAAAAGAAACTACTCATTTAATTTGTCATTTTAATGTAGTTCAGTTTTACAATGTTTCCCTTATAATTAGTGCTTTTTGTTCCCAGTTTAAGAAATCTCCTTCCTAAGTTTATTAAAGTATTCTCCCTTGTTTTACTCCAGATGCTTCCACTGTGACACCTTTGGCTCAGAAGTTATGTAACTGTATGTGATTGATCTCCAGCAGTTGGGGTTATTTTCTAATTTTCTTTTTATTATTGATTTCTAGTTTAATCCCAACATGATCAAAGAGCATATTCTGTATGTTTTGAGTCTTGTCAAATTTGTAGAGGCTTGCTTTATTGCCCAGCATGGGATTAATTAAGGTTTGTTCCATGTACACCTGGAAGAATGTGAATTCTTTCACAGTTGGGTAGAGTTTTCTGCATATGTCATTTATGTCAAGTCTGTTAATCCTCTTATTCAAATCTTCTTTACCTTTAATGATATTTTCACCTTAAAAAAATTTTTTTTTTTTTGGTGAGAATGCTGAAGATCTACACTCTTAGCAAATTTCAAGTATATAATACAGTGTTGTTAACTATAGTCACTATGCTGTGTATTAGAGCCTCAGAATTTATCTTATAACTGAACATTTGTACCCTTTGATTAACATCTCCTCCCCCACCCCCAGCTCCTGGCGACCACCATTCTACTCTCTGTTTCTGTAAGTTTGATTTTTTTAGATTCCACATATAAAGTGATACCATATATTATTTGTCTTCCTCTGTCTGGCTTATTTCACTTAGCAAAATGCTGTCCAGACTCATCCAGGTTATCACAAATGGTAGGATTTCCTCCTTTCTCATGGATGAATAATATTCTGTTGTATATATATACATCTTCTTTATCCATTCATTCATTGATGGAGACTTAGGTTGTTTTCATATCTTGGCTATTGTGAGTAATGCTGCAATGAACATGGAAGTGCAGGTATCTCTTGTGATTTCACTTCTTTTGAATATATACTCAAGAGTGGAATTGCTGGATCATTTGGTAGTTCTATTATTAATTCTTTGAGGAACTATTTTCCATCATGGCTGTAGCAATTTATATTCCCACCAACATTATCAAGGATGAATTTTTGACTGCTTGTTTTATCACCTAGTGAAAAAGTATGTAAATTCTCCCACTATTCTTGTAGACTTGGATATTCCTATTTTTAGGTCTTAAGTTTTGCTTTATATATTTAAGAGACTTATAGCCAAATGTAATATGCAGAACTTGTTTGTAATGTGATTGAAAAATGTATTTTAAGACACCAGGGACATTTGAACATAGGCTGTACATTGGATGATATTTAGGAATCATTGCTAAATTTGTTAGATGTGGTGATATCTACTAGAGATAGAGACTAAAAGGTTTATGGGTTAAATTTTACAACATTTTATAGAATTTGCTCACAGAGTAAATTGAAAAGATTAAGCAATATATTTCCTTTAATATTTTTATACTAAATGCCTCTTCCTACACACAAAGATATTATAGAGAAATGATTGATAAAGATATGATTTATCACATGCTAAATAAATAAAGCTGCCTCATTTCCCATGGAAAGCTGGCTTGGAATTTTGTGAGAGGCCTTGGTCAAACATAGACAAATACTCCATTTTTTTAAACCACTAATAGATGATTCTTCTTTCTTTTTCTAAATGTGAGCAAAAAATATTTTGGGAAAAAAATAATATAGTATATGCAGTTGTGGATGGCTGGGAATATTTTCAGAGTGAAATCAGAAAACTCATGGGATTGTTAATTTTATGTGTCCACCTGACTGGGCTGAGATGCCCATGTAGCTGGTAAAACATTATCCCTGAGTGTGTCTGTGAAGGTGTTTCTGGAAGAGATTAGCATTCGATTCAGTAGACTGAGTACAGAAGATCTACCCTCACCAATTGTGGATGACCATCATCCAATCCATTGAGGGCATGACTAGAACAAAATGGAGGAGGATAAGTGAATTCCCTCTTTCTCTTCTTGAGCTTGGACATCCATCTATCCTGCTCTTGGACATCAGAGCTCCTGGTTCTCTGGCCTTTGGAGTCTGGGACTTACACCAGTGGCCCTCTGGTTTTCAGGCCTTCAGCTTTGGACTGGGAGTTACGCCATGGGCTCCCCTGGTTCTCAGGTTTTCTGACCTGGACTGAATTATACCTGCAACATTTCTGGTTCTCCAGCTTGCAGGTGGCAGATTGTGGGATGTCTTGGCCTCCATAACTGCATAAGCCAATTCCTATTACAAATTTCCTCACATATGTGCATATGTATCCTATTGGCTCTGCTTCTCTAGAGGCTCCTGACTAATAAAACCCATAAGAAAAAATTGTATTTAAAAAAATATTTCTTAAACATGGTCTAAGGGGAGATTTTGAACTAAGATAAGTTCACTAAGATGTACACTGTCATTAGTACCCAGATATGTGAGCCAGTAGTCTTCAGCACAGGAATCGACTCACAAGGCTGTGAGCAACAAAATAAGGGAATACCATTGGGAAGGTATTCAACTAGAATGGTCTTTTGTAGGCTGATTATGAAGTGGATTTAATGGAAACTAATATTTTTTTCCTTTATGAGTTGGAAATCACCGGTAAGTAGCTCTTAGGAAATTTGTACAGATATTAAAAATACAATTTGCTGATTGCCTGAGCTCATCTCTCTGTAGCCCATATAATGGGTACTAATTTTTCTTGTTTGCAGATGTAGAAACTGAAGTTGAGACTTAGATCCAGACAGCCTGCATATAGTGTAACGACAGCAGCAACCCTTACTGAGCAAATACTGTGGCACAGGCAGTATGCCATGTATTTTACCAACATAATTTTCCTTGTCAGGAAGGTATGATTATATTCATTTGATGAATGTGAAAACTGAGTTTCTAAAAGTGAAAGTGACCTTCCCAAAGCTCTACTCTAAGTACTGGGTACCTGGAATTTAATCCTGGATTTGTCTGGCTCCAAACCCTGTATTCTTTCTTGTGTATCATAAAACTATTGACCGCCATGTGCTTCAGATTAAAATGATCATTTAACTACATTATATGGGATTGTTTTAGAACACGTTACTTAAAATTTTTCTTTTTCCTTTTCCTTGCCAGTTATTTTATTTCTTCACCATTTAATTCGTTTTTAAAAGTTATGAAAGTATGCTCGCTTGTGTTTTTTTTTAAGATCAAATAATAAGAAGGTATAGTTAATTCCCCTGTTTACATCCCATGCCCTTCCTATAGATGACCACTGTTAAATTTCTTACATAGTCCTTTTCAGAAATTTTCTGTCTATTCAAACACATACACACACATTTTTTTACTTAGATGAATGTATATTTTATTTTGCATATTGTTCTGTACCTTTTTTCACTTAACATATCTTGCACATCTTTCCACAGAAATATATAGAGAGAGCTCTACATTTTCATTTTAATGGCTATGTATATCGGCATTCCATTGTATGGATGTACATCATCCAGGTAAGCAGTTCCTATTAGGATTGCTTCCCTTTTTTTTTTTTTTTTTTTTTTTCTGCGGTACGTGGGCCTCTCACTGTTGTGGCCTCTCCCGTTGCGGAGCACAGGCTCCGGACGCGCAAGCTCAGCGGCCATGGCTCACAGGCCCAGCAGCTCCACGGCATGTGGGATCTTCCCGGACCGGGGCACAAACCCGTGTCCCCTGCATCGGCAGGCAGACTCTCAACCACTGCGCCACCAGGGAAGCCCACTTCCCTTTTTTTAATTGCAAACCGTACTGCAATGATCAGTCCTATATGGATATCTTTGCATACTTATGTGAGTATCTGTCAGATTGAATTAGGTGCTTGAAAACCAAGGATTACCTTCTAAGCAAGTTCTAATTTTGGTTCTAATAAGTAATGGGGCATAAATTTCAAGGGACCCAAGAGACCCAGAAGCCAGCTAAAAAGAGTTATTATATAGCACCTTTATTCTCTACTCAAAGCAACTTTATTCAATATTCAGATATTACCACATTGGCTTCCTTCTGCTGCTGGTGAGCAGAATTCTTTCAAATATCTGAGCTGTCTGCACTCTCTGTGTTTTACCAGGATGATCATGGAAGGTTCTGCCTACAGGTGAATGACATCTTCAAAGGGCAAATAAGCTTTGATTCTTTCAATTACCTTCCTTGAGGTAGAAATCCACTGGGACGTGCCAAGTCTCTCATCCTAATTGTTAAAGTAATATTACACAGCATTCTGGATCAGTTTATTGAACAGACATTTTCCATAAACTCTGCAATCTTTACACATCCAATTTGTGGCAATAATGTGAAGCTGGTTTTACTAAGAAAAGAGCATTCCCATCCTGATATATCTTACTTGTGAACAACTGTTATCTCTCAATTTGATATTTCTTTTTCTTCAAAAGACAAAAAGGTCATTAAATATATGGAGTGTGTTAAGAGAGGGATTTGACTAAGGATTTATTGGAATGAGGATAAATTCCTATAAGTAGAAATGCTGACTTAAATGGCATGGTTTTTAAATTTTGATAAATATTGTTAAAATGCCATTCAAAATTGTTTAAATGTATATTCTCACAAGCTTACAGTACTCTGAACCCCTACACACACATCTTCATCTCCACACACACATTTTCATCTTGGAAATTGCTAATGTTCTAATTATGGAAAATATTATTTGTAAAACATGTTATCTTGTTTTTCAGTTGCATCTTTAAATTATGAATGCATTTTAACATCACATATTTCTTTTACTTATGACTGAACTGCCCAGCTAGAATTTATTTTAAGCATCTCAAAGAAAAGTGGGGAGATCATCTCATGATGGGTAAATATGAAGGGAGACATGTCCAAATTCCCTTGGGAAAACTGCTTGTCTTCTGCAGGCTTGCTGAGATTCTTTAGTACAGTCATGGCCACTGTGATTCTCTAAGAGAAAGGGTGGAAGAGGGGTTTGAAGGAGAATCATTGCACACTCCTCCCCACCCCCAGCCTTTCTTACCACAGCAGTTCTGATGACGCCACCTCTGGCTCCTAAATGCTGTGGGAATTTTATGTACGAGTATATATTTCTGCATGTAAAAACTGTAAAGTAAAAGTTTATTTGTTGTTATTCATTATTCAGTTCTGTTATATACTTATTTTCAAGAATGTCTTATGTAACGATCAAAAAGGGGGTTAGATAGTATAATAGATCGTCTGCAAAGATAACTGTGCCTCCCATCAAGCAGTGAAAACTGTTTCCCCTCCCCTTGACTCCAATTGGCCTTGTGTCTTGCTATGACCTATAGAATGTGATAGAAGCATTGTTGGGCAAGTTCTAGGCCCTGCCCTTCAGAGGTCTGGCAGCTTCTGCTTTCACTCTTTTGTTTATAGAGTAAAACAAGAGTTGAACCATAATTGTAAGAGAGAGAATGAGAGACCAGCCAGCTCCCAGCCATTCCAGTCACCCTTGCAGAGATGCCCGGCATGTAGATGAAATCATCTTTGACATTCCAGGTTCATGTGAAGTGTCCAGCTGACTGCAGTCACGCAAGAGATTCTAGTGAAGAGGAAGAACCATGTGAAGAGGAAGAGCCACCAACTGAGCCTGGCTAACTCTCAGAATCATGAAAATAAAATAAATAACTGAAACACTAAGGTAGGTACTAAAATAGTACCTAGGGAGAAAATCTTGTGAAATATAAAATAAAAACCAGTTGTCAAGACAAAGGAGATCAGTGTAGATGGATAGAGAAGGCCCCAGACAAACAGGAGAGTACAAAATTCTTATCTTGAGTTAGGGTTCAATGGCTGGGACTAGTATTCTAGACCTGTGTTTCCAGTATAACTTTTTTCGATGATGGAAATATTCACCTGTGACTATTGAGAACTTGAAATGTGACTAGTGCATGTGTGGAGCTGAGTTTTAATTTTTATTGAATTTTAATTAATTACATTTAAATTTAAATAGCTCCATGTGGCTAGTGACCACCATATTGGACAGTGTAGCCACTATATCACATGTCACACTTCATCCTGATGAAGGGATAAAAATCAACAACTCAACCCCAAATTGTGTCTTTTCACCTGTACTCCTCCTTAGAATTCTGAGAGGAACTTCATTATACTCAGACCTTCATCTGCTTTGGAGTCTCAGCTGAGAATAACCATATCATCTGTCAACTTCTGCATTTGGAGAACCAAGAGTTAGAAGTGGGCTCCCCCTTGTTATGGTCTCTGAGTAAATAGAGAATAAATAGGGGCTGAGAATAACTTTTTTTAAAAAAATCTGTCTTTGCCTTTTATTCTATGTCTATAAATAGTCTTGAAGTAAAAGCACTTGTTATAAAGGAAATTGTTAAGAGCTTTATTTAGGGTATTGAATGCAAACCCAAACATATATAGGTATGTGGTGTTTCCCAAACTTCCTTCAATATAGAAATATTTTGTGTGTGACTTCTATTAATCTCTTACAGCAGCAATAGGACACATTTGGGGAATGCTCTCCTACAAAACTGCAGAATTTTTATTAAACTGGGTTAAATGTCATAATGAAATATTGAACACTTCACCCATGAATACTACATGGTAACTTTCCAAAATCAATTCCATTTCCTTAATTAGAAAATTAATCATTTGAGATTATTAAACAAATATGAAGCAAGATTAAAATGATGATTTTCATTTCCTTATGGGTTAATTTTTAAATAATTTAACAAAAACAGAATAATACTTTTCTCAGAGAGGGCAAGATTATAGCTGAGATTTCATTATATGGTAACTAGACTCCAAAATTTTCAAACACTATTTTTAACATTCCTACCTCCTAAAGGCAATATTGACATTCACATGAATAAAATCATTCCTCTTCTATACCCATCTGGCAGTAAACCATGATTTTCCAAAGAGCCAAGGACAAATAATTATTCCAAGGACTCTTTTTTGCTGGAAAGACATTCTTACTTTCTTAGGAGAATGTAATTCGTTCTGCTTCATTGTTGGATTTAACCCCAGTGAAATTGAAAATATATTATTCCTACTGCCTATGAGTCCTCAAAAGACTCTCCTACCCTCCAGAGTTTGTTCCAACCGGTTTGTCAAATTAAGGTAAACAAGCAAATTATTCCAGTCACTTAAAGATCTGGTTAAAATGTGAGAAAATATCTCTTCTCCCCAAATTCCTATTCATGGACTTTTATGGTTGATAGCAATCCTCAAAGGTCATCTTCCTCCACCTTCTCGTGTTGGCTGCATATTAGGATGAGGTGGGGGTGCTTTTAACAATGCAGGTCCCTGGGCCCCACTCCAGACTATCTCAGCAGGGGAACGGGAAGCAGGCACAGACATCCTTAAAGCCACTTTGGAGACTCTAATGCCAGTTACGCCTTTGAGCCAGTCCATCCTGCTCACTTTACAGACGTGTAGACTGAGGATCAGCCGGCTAAGTGCGTCACTATTTTGTTTCTTATTTATGAGGCCATCAAAACTAGAACAGTCTGAACAAGTGGTGGTTTTCCAGCTCGTACACAGTCACTAGGATTACAAGTGTGTGTGTGTGTGTGTGTGTGTGTGTGTGTGGAGGGGGGTGTCTCTAGGACCACCTCAGGGTGAAAGGGGACAGTGAGGAAGGGAGAGACTCTAATCTCCCATCAGAACACCCCACCTAGCTGTTTGTATATCAAGGTACTTCATATTTCATTTGAAGAGAGGGTTCCACTGCTAAAAGTATGCCAAGTCTGAAGAATAACAAGGTGAACATCACGAGTCGATTTCTGAGATGTTTATCAAAGTTGACACTGGTTCAACTATTCATGAAATGTAAAAACATTTAAAAGAACAGAGGAGTGTTTATTCTTAAATCACATGTTTTTTTTCCAGGTGTTTGATGAGCTCCAAGGGACTATCTAAGCTCAAATATTTGCACCTATGAAAAGTATGTGTAGCAGGTAAGAATCTCAGGCCACAAGTGCAAGCTTTTAAAATGTATTTCATTTTTCTTCAACTGACTTAATTTCTATTTTCATGTTCTATTACCCTGATATCTGATGTACTTTGACTCAGGGTATGTAGGTTATTGCAAGGCATCAGGGTGGGTCTCTGGTCCCTGATCCTGTCTGCCCTCAATGGCATCCTCTGAAATATCCTCTTTCCCACCTGGCCTCAGGTCATGGGTACATATGGATCCTGTTTACTCCTGACCACAGAGTCTCTTAAGTCCTCTCTATTGGACTTGTGCCCATCGCTTGGTCTCTCAGGAAAGCATTCAGCTGCTTCCAGCCCACCTGGGTTTGGGGGACCATGTGAGGGTGTCTCAGGCTCCCCTGGGCAGACAGTCCTCCACTATATCTATTGCTTCCCCACCATGCTGCTGAGGGGAGGCCCATAAAGCTTGCTGTCTCTCCAAGTTCCACTCAGGAAGTGAGGCACAGCTCTTCTTTGTCACTGGAGCCCCAAAACTTTTCAAGGGCATGCCCCAGCAGTGGGCACCAAGGCAGAGGACCCTCTCCAGAAAACAGTATCTGAGTGTGCTCTGATTCTTCTCTCTTATGGATATCATAGTTGAGAGGATAGGGAAACTGTCTTGAACTGAGAATATTTTCTTCAAAAACCATTATTCTGTTCTAAAGCCTTCAGAATCCAGGCTCTTGCAACTCATAACACCTTTTATCTCAAGGCAGTTGTTTCTGCTATCATTCCAAAGGCCTATTTTAATACTCAGAGAATTGCCTACTTATCTTCCCAGAAGCCATCCCAGTGGAGGTAAGGAAATTGATAAGAGACAAAGGTGGACAGGGGGAAAAATGCGTCAGTTAATACATCAGTATCATATCTTTCTACACAAGCATAAGGGGAAATACCGATCAGGTTCTGATCAATTTCTTGACATCTCTTCAATGCTCATCACTGTTTCATCCCTTTCTCCTTGTTATATATACTCTCTAACCAGGACCATCTACATAATTTGAGGAGCCCAGCACAAAATAAAAATGCAAGGCCCCTTGTTCAGAAATTACTGCTAATTTCAAGACAGCTGTAGCAGAACATTAAACCAAGCACAGGGCCCTTTTGAACACAATGGCCTGGGTCACACCCATGAAGCCAGCCCTGTTTCTAACCCTCAAAGCACCTCTTTCTTTGATTTTTAGTGGAGTGTTGTTTGTATTGTCGAAAGAAAAGTCAGAGAACTTTACTTGATATGAATAATTTATTGAATGAGAAACAAGAACGGGGAGATTTCAAACCCAAAACTTGTGTAAAGTTCAGAGGCATGGCATTACAGGATAGCTTCTAAAGTGAAAAGGAGGATGTTGTTTAGCCTTTACAATGATTAGTTATTACATTGGGGGTTTCCAGACTGCAGGAGGTTGGTGAAAAGTGATTATCTTATACCATTTGGGGAAGATGACTTAAGTTTTATGATTATCAAAGACATTGACAAGAAATAACCTAAATTACATTTCACTTACCTTCATGAAATGAACCGCTTAGTTTTGCATAAGTGGCTTAAATGGTTTTTGTCAGCTTGAGGGATTTTTAAACCTGGCTTCATTTCATTTTATTTTAAAAGAATTATCAAAATAGCTTAAGACAATCTAAATGTCCAGTAATAGGAATTCATAATATAAATTACAGAATTTCCATATGATAGACGACTATGAAGTTATTTATAATCATGTGGGGATATTAAACAACATGGAAAAATGTTACCATGATTCTATATATTGGAAATGTTAACACACCTGCCCTGACCACACCCCATTGTGAGGGAAACAGCCCCACCCATTCCTCTTGCAGCCAGGCAGGGGGGCCTTGCTTTACCATGTTTCCTCCTTCCACTATTGTTGATTGGCTCAGGAGAGTAACAGATCCAAGGGTAGCCAATTAGTAGACTTGCCAGCAACCTATTGTCTGTATGTGCTGGATGAAACACAGCAGGGCAAAGTTTGAAATTTGTACTAAAAACCCAGAAATCATGAGACAATAAGAGTGAGAGCTCAGTTAAAAGGCAATAAGGAAAAAAAAAAAAGCAATAAGGTAGATTAAAGATTGAGAAACTGCTGTAAGAAGTAGTAAACTGAAACTATGAGGGAACAAAAATTAAGAATAGTAGACAGAGCAATTGAAGGCGGGGCAAACAGGCAGATGGAGGGCAGCCAACGATGCTGTCAACGCAGCTCTGCAGCAGGGACTCCAGCTCCTGCTGTGGGGTTCTTGGCAGATGCCTGGGCTCCAGATCCAGACTCCAGCCCTTTGCACAGGAACCTGCCCTAACCTGGCCCCTGTTCTTAGATTTCCAAGACAATTTCCTTGTCATTCTTTGTAAATCCTTTCAGGACTGGCCTCAGTGGATCTCTGTCTTGCAACTGTTACAAGGGTGTGTAGACAGCCCAATTTTATTTTTAATGTTTGCTTACATGTATCTATGGATATGAGGTAGAGTCGCCAACTTACTAACAAAATTCTTAAATGTACCGAGATTACGTTGCTTCTTTATTTCTCCATTAACTGATCTGATCCCCTAAAAGATACTTCTCACTGGGTGCCTGGGACAATCAGACTTGGCAATGTTCCAATCTTCTGTGTCATAAATGTTTCCATCCACTTAACACATTTATTTAAATTTCAACTCGCTCGGTTTTTGTTAAAGATATACCTGCATGTAGACAAAATAACATATTTGTAAGGCTATTCGTTGCAGCATTGCTTATAATAGCAAAATTTTATCTATGTTCATCAATAAGGAAAGAGTTGAATAAATTATGAAGTATCCTTACACTACTCTCCAAAAAGCAAACAAAAGAATGGGTACACTATATACTGTCCTGATACAGAAATCCCAGTGATACATTTTAAATGGGAAAAAGGGCTAAAAATAGTTATGCTCCCTTTGCTTTAAGAAAATGAAAAAATAAGATTAAAAATATGTATTAACATTTCTAGTAATAGCATAAAGAAACTCTGGAAAGATACACAAGAAGCCAATTAAAATTGTGTTCTTTGAGAGGAATGCTATTGGGGGATTAGGAATGGGGTGGATGGGAAAGCAAGAGTTTTTTCTGTACATTGTATAAATCTATGGACCATGTCAATATTTTACTATAAAATGAAGCATATTTTTTAAAGCAATAACATTCAATCCATAGTTTCAAATAGCATCTTTTGTGTGACTGAGTAAAGTGATCCATCCCTCAGACTTACCCTAATGCTCTACCAATAGCATCTGATTAGGGTAGATTAAGCCATCTAATGGTGGTAGAATGCGGTGGGAGGGACTTGGACCCTTGCTGGCCACCTCTCTTTTTTGCCTGGTCATGCCTTCCCTCTGGCACTGCAGCTGAAGTTGGCAACTGGTGTCCTTTACCGTCTGATCTTAATGTGGTCTGGCCCAGTGGTGCTACCAGGCTGACTTGGTCTTATCTTAGCACTTGATGGTGCTTAGGACCTCCCGGGTCTCTCCCGTAGCCCCCAGCTGGCTCTGCTTTGAGTCTGATCCCACAGCCTCTACTATAAGATCATCCTTCCCAGGCCTGCTGACTTCCACAGGGTAATCTTCTGATTTGACCCCCAGCCCCCCACCCCATTCCCCACCTCCTCTATCAGGAAACCTTGGACCCAATCAGTGGCATACACAAATTAGAAGAGCACTGGAAAGCTAAACCTTCTTCCTGCATATATCTCCCAGAGAGAGAACTTCCCAGTTCACACTGATATGGCCAACTTCCATGTTGGTATGTGGGTAACTTACAAGGCTATCTTCCCAAGAGACCCAGGAAGAGATCCTGGGCAAAGGCCCCTGCCCTTAGCATCCTGTCCACTTTTCTTACACACTTGGCTTTGGTCTAGAGGGGGATTTTGTTTTGTAAGTTTTACTTTTAAAAGGAGCAAGTATTTTTTAAATGTTAATTTTCTGTTGTAACTGGTGAGGACATGAGAGTTTGAGGTATTGTCCTTTGTACTTTTCTGATTTTTTTTCTCACTTATTATTTTTTTTAATTTAAAGACAAAAATTCAATCAAGCCATTTCTGATAGGGCCATTTTTAGAACTATTTTGGGCGAACAAGCTGGGATTTGATTCAGTATCATGATTGGTTTGTGAGCTGCACAAAAAGTGAGGTGGGGAGGGGTTTAGAAAATTAAAAATGGAAGATACCCCCCCACACACATATACAAACACAATACCCCAGTCAATGTTTATTTCTCTTCCGCTATCCAAATAGTTGTTGCAGATGACTAGTTTATTTGGCTAGTTCAGACTCAGACTAAGAAACAGATAAAGGGAGATAACTTATGTGGTTCTCCCATAACTCTCTTTTCTCAAGTGAGAAAATTTGGTCTTTGATGTCCATCCTATTTGATCAAGAGAATGCTGACCTTCTTCCTTGGTTATAGCAGATTTTATTCAAGGTAAAAATGTACTCAGAAAAATACTACCTCTTTGGAAATCTCTTATGTAAAAAATAACTCTTGTGTTTTTAAGCTACTGTAGTTGGGTTTCTTTTAATATCAACCTGACTTCATTCCTAACTGATGTAATCATGGGTGGCGAATTTATTCATTCATTCAACAGATTATTATTGAAAATCCAGGTCCCAGGCACTGTGCTAAGTGTTGAGGATTCTGGTACTAGATATTGGAATAATGTGAAAAAAATAGTTATAATTATGGTTATGCTGAGTCCCTTTTCCATTTGCCCCTCCAAGTCCACTCTCCATGCACCCTGCTTTGTACCCCTGGGAGGCTGACCCATATGGATGTCATCAGTGAGCTCCCTTACTCTTTGGCTCCAGTTGGATTATTTATTCCCCCGGCTCCCTCCTGTGGGATTGCTACACACTGGCTTCATCCGTCTACTGAAAGTCCCAGCTCCTCTTGGGCATCCCTTTCCAACTATTCTCTGTCTCCAGGCTCTGGTAAATACCCCCTTTTCTTATTTATTCAGGCCTC